GAGAATGGTGAAGATGTCGCGCGCGACGGAGGTGGGGTCATTGTTATCGGAGTTTGGGTCGGGTCGCTTAACGGGTTCGGATGTAGAGAAGGAGAGGAGAGGAGGCGAGATGGTGGGGTTGAGGCTTCTTTCTAGTGGAGAGCGGCATTTGAGCAATCTAAGCATCGCGTCCAGTTCACTCGCACGCTCGACGTTCTCCCCCACTGACCACTGTAAAGTTTGTGTCGTGTATTTTATATCCTCACTTTTATTAGTTTTATATTAGGGTTAATTGCCTATTAGTCCCTTACATCATTTCTAATTGCCAAATGACCCCTCAAATTTCATTATTCGCCGGTTAGTCCCTTAAATCTTCAGTTTTCTTGCAATATGGTCCTTCTGTTAGAAAAGCCGTTAACCTCTCTAACTCTAGTTGAGTTAATGCTTAACCTAACAACTCAAGTTACCTTATTGCCCTTGGGGTATACATTGTCCTTGTAAGTTTTGGATTTAGAGTGAAGCTAGCCATGGGAGTGACTTTGATTTTGGGTTTGGGGGAAGCATGAGACCATTGGTGAAGAAAGAATGTGGATTTGAGTTGGTATATATGGGGTATAATGGGTATTTTACCTAATTCTATCATATTTAACGGTCATTAATAACATCACCTCACACGAGGGACGAATTGGCAAGAAAACTGAAGATTTAAGGGACTAATAAGCAAATAATGAAATTTGGGGGACTATTTGGCAATTAAAGATGATATAAGGGACCTATATGCGATTAACCCTTTATATTATGAAGTTTTTAAAATTCTCACTTATACACCCTCAGTTGTTTTTCGCCGACACTTTAATTAAAACTTTTGCCTAAAGTTTTAAAGCTTGTGTTTAACTATCCTCAACTTTACATAAATGAGAGTATTAAATAATTATTTATTTATTAAATAAACCACCTAATATCGAATATAACTGAATACAAACGAACAAATAACAATTTTTTTGATAAGTATATGCTATGTTTCCACCCCTTAAGAGGATTAGTACAGTTTAATAATTTTTATGGTTAACGCCACCCTAAATCCTCACAAACCCTAAATCCTAATCACTCACCATCAAACTCTATCCTCCGCAACACCCTAAATCCTCACAAACCCTAGCCCCTAATCACTCACCATCAAACTCTTTCCTCTGCCTTACAACTTCCCTTCTTTCTTGTGACTGGTCACCATCAACAGGGCGCGATCACTATTCACCATGAAGAGTATCACAGTACTACGGTGACTGTTTACCATGAATAATACAACAGATTCTTGTCCGTTCTGCTTTCGATGGCCTTGTTGATGATCAAAATTGTCATTACTGGCAATAGTAGTCATCCTCGATATATATGTTTCCATCACCGCCTTGCCGCTTCGATTTTCCTTCATTCACCGCCTACTCAACTTATCGACATTACCGCCATCACCACTTGTATTTTAGAAACCTTGACCACCATTAACTATTAGGGAAAAAAAAGATATTGATTGAATCAGGATTTGGTTTGGAGTTTGGTTTGATGAAAGTTATTGTCTTGGCCTTATTTGTTTGGTGGATCCCTAAAGAGGGGTTATTTGTTTGGTGTATACCTAGGGAAGGATCATTTGTTTGTTAGATCTCGAAAAGGATCGTTTGTTTGGTTGATCCGTGAATAGGATCGTTTGTTTGATTAATCGATGAAGATGATCATTTGTTTGGTTAATCCGTGAAGAGGATCGTTTCTTTGGTTGATCTGTTAAGATAATCGTTTGCTTGGTGGGTCGCTAGTGAGGATCATTTATTTAGTAGTTCTGTGGTCGATCTGTGAAGAAGATCAAGGTTTGGCATTTGGTGATTTTGGTTGAGGTTATTCATGGTGGATGACATTCAAGTAGAAGACTAGAAGATGAAGACAACTATGATGAGAAAGGTTGCACAGAAAATTTCAACATTTTAAGTCGTGTCACAAATTGGAGTGAGTACATCTTGTTAATAACAAGCCGAACATGTATAATATACACGCTCAAGCTTGAGGGGGAGCGTTGAGGAATATATTACGGAGATCTATAATGCTATAGTTATATTAGGAATAATATATTAGTAGTATAAATTAGAAATATGGTGATTGGGAAATATTAGAAATATAACTAAGAGAATGATTGTGATAAGTTAATTGTGTTTAGTCACACATTGACTACACAATAAATTTCTTGTTATTATATTCCTATATAAAGAAGAGTAGTTGTAGCTTTCAAAATATGAATGAGAATCTACAATAATTTATTGTTTAAAAAGTTTGAAAAATCAAGAAGCTAAATTTTTTATTTCTTTTTTTATTAAATACTTAAAGTGACACATCTTGTATACATAAAAATATCAAAACAACAATCTCACTCCCATTTTCCCCTTTCTCTAAGGCCTGTTTAGATAGAGAGGAATAGGAGAGAAGGTAAGGTAAGATAAGAGAATACATTCACTCTGTTTGAAAAGTTTTTAAGAGTGAAAGTTTTCCCACTCATTCCCCCTACAATCAATAGAAATTTGGTTGAGTGGAACCTAAGAAAGGAAATTCCTTTACCTTCCCTTCTCTTCTCTCCCTTATATTTCCTTAAGTTCACCTCCCACCAATGAAATCCAAATACGTCCTAAAAATTCTATGAATAAATACCTAGTGGAAAGGAGGAATAAAGAGGCAAAATGGGAACCTCGTGCCAGGAACATTATATATATATTGAGGTATTTAATGCACTTTTATATGGATTTGCTTCCAATGTGGATTCACTTTCTATTACTCCATTCAAGCAAATTCTTGTTGATCAACCCCCCAGAATAAAAATACTTAAGAACTATATACTATATGCTAGCTACATGAAAAAGCTTCTTGGTTGCAGAGGTATCCATTTGTCCCCATTCATAGCAACAAAGGAATATAATCCTTGGATCATTGCAGAAATACCAAAGTCTAGTGATTTAAAAATTGATATCGCTTTCTTGCACCGAGAGTATCATGAATAGCGACCAACGGATACTTACTCCTTGGTAGCATGTGGAGATTCGAAAAGGGTTGTTTGGTATTGTTAGTTTCGAGAAGTGTAGACCCAAACCTAGATCAAAATCAACAAAACTGGAAAACTCAGCCTCGGTCGACCGACATGCATGGATCGGTCGACTAAATCAACTGTAAGAAACTGAGCAGGAAATCCGATCTGGTCGGTTGACCGAAACAGTGACGTCGGTCGACCGATGTGAAGTCAAAAAACATTACAGGAGTTTCGGGACGGTCGACCGATGGACTTGCCACGGTCGACCGATGACAATCAACCGTTCGACCGATGCAATACTATCGGTCGACAGAAGTCGGGTCTGGCAGTTTCCTGATTCGGGTTGGAATCTGTTTTTGGACTGTGTATATATATATGTTTCCTAAAACATTTTTAGGGTTATGAGAGGACGTCTTTGAGAAGGTTTTGACGGCACTTCGAGATCGGATATCTTAGAGAGAAAGTAGCCTATTGTGAGCATTGTAATCATCTTCAATTAATCAAAGAATTTCTGGTGTGGCTCCCGAGGACCTAGGCACGTTTGCCGAACCTCGTTAAATCTGGTGTTTTTCTTCTTTTGTTCTTTATTTCCTGCAAGTTTTCTTTTATTTGCTGTGATTTCTTACTTGCCTACTCTTGACACAACGGGTTGTCGTGTGTTCAACCCCAATAACTGGTATCAAAGCTTCATTCGGCAAAAGTTTGTGTTTTGAAAGAGATGGCAGAAGAAAGCAAATCAAAGATCGAGAAGTTTGACGGATCGGACTTCGCCTACTGAAAGTCACAGATGGAGGACTATCTGTACCAGAAGGATATTTACCGTCCGTTGATGGAAAAAGCTAAAGGAAAGAAGAAAGAGGAATCAGACGAGGATTGCGAAATACTATATCGGAAGGCTCTAAGGAAGATTCAGTTGTCGCTTGCCAAATCAATCACCCACATTATACTGAAGGAGAAGACGACGGTGGGGTATATGAAAGCGCTCACGAAGATGTACGAGCAACTGTCAGCCGCAAACAAGGTGCATCTCATCAAGACACTCTTCAACCTCAAGATGGCAGAATGATATTCCTTCACGTTGCATCTCAGTGAGTTCAACACGATCATTGATCAACTTATCTCAGTCGACATCACGTTTAATGACGAAGTGCAAGCCCTATTGATTCTATCACAGTTACCGAATAGTTGGGCAGGTTGCGTGACCGCAATTAGCAACTCGCGGGGAAGGAGAAGTTGAAGCTGAGCAAGGTTGTTAGCATGATTCTATCTGATGATGTTAGAAGAAAATCGCCTGAATCAGAAGGTTCAGGTTCAGCCCTAAATCTCGAGCACAGTGGCCGAAGTTAGAAGAAGGGTAACCAGAACAGGAATCGGTTAAAATCGAAGAAGAAAAGGTCGAACTCGAAGGTTAGACCTATCAAAGAAAAGTGTTGGAAATATGGCCATGAGGGCCATATGTCTTCAGTCTGCAAAGCGCCAAAGAATGATGTGAATGAGCAGGAGGCTCGTATCGTGCAAGATGCCTTGATCTTTTCTATGGACAGTAACTCCGACTCATTGGTTATTGATTCGAGAGCCTCGTTCCACGTCATTGCTAATAGGAAGCTTCTCCAGAACTATGTAGCAGGGGACTTTAGGAAAGTATACTTAAGGGACAACGAGCCTTGCAGTATTGCCGGAAAAGGTGACGTGCAGATTCAGATGAAGGGCTCTAAGTGGAATCTGAAGAACGTCAGACATGTACCGAAGCTGAAGAGGAATCTTGTTTCGGTTGGCCAGCTTAGAGCGGAAGGCTATGTTTCAGCATTCACCGGGAATTCATGGAAGATCCCCATTAATACTATGATGGTTGCCTGCGGAAACAAAACAGTAACTCTTTACCTTACTTCACATGCTAGTGACACCCTCGCAATTGCAGCTGGCAAAGAGAGTTCAGATCTGTGGCACAATAGGTTGGGACATATTAGTGAAAAAGGTATGAAGATTCTACACTCAAAGAAAGCTAACTGGCATCGATTTAGTTGAAGTTGGTGCTTGCGAGGATTGCATCTACGAAAAGCAAAAGAGGGTCAGCTTTTAGAAGAGTGGAAGATCACCTAAAGCTTAGAAGCTAGAGTTTGTCCATACAGATGTTTGGGGTTCAGCTAGCGTATCTTCTCTTGGTAGTTCGGCGTACTATGTTACCTTTACCGACGATCACTCGAGGAAGGTGTGAGTATACTTTATGAAGCACAAGTCAGAGGTGTTCGGGATCTTCAAGAAGTGGAAAACCATGGTAGAGAATGAGACATATTTGAAAGTGAAGTGTCTGAGATCGGACAACTGTGGAGAATAAGAGCTGGAGGAGTTCAAGAAGTTTTGTGGCCTGAACGGGATTCGTTTAAAGAGGACTACTCCAAGGACACCGCAACAGAATGGCGTTACAAGGAGGATGAACATGACATTGACAGAGCGTACGAGGAGCATGTGTTTACATGCAGGTCTACCTAAGATGTTTTGGGCAGACGCGGTGCATACGGTAGCTTATCTAATTAATCGTGATATATCAGTTCCATTGGATTTTGGGATTCTAGAAGAGGTTTGGAGTGGCAAGAATATTAATCTCTCACATTTACGAGTATTTGGTTGTATGGCATATGTTCATATCAGTGACCATGTCAGGGACAAACTAGAAGCTAAGTCACAGAAGTGTACATTCATTGGATACGACATTGATGAGTTCGGACATCGTCTTTGGGATGAGAAGAACAGGAAAATCATCAGGAGTAGAGATATGATATTAAATGAAGAGGTGATATACAAGGGTATGGACAATGTCAAGGATAGCCAAAACAGTAGGAGCAACACTAAGGATGCAGGTGGATCCGAGTACATAGATTTTGAGAAACTTCTAGATGGGGGAAACAATGTCAGTTCTGACCGAAGAACGGAAGAGACTCCAGATGCAAAGATTACTACCAGGGCGTGAAACTTAGGAGGTCATCCAGGGTACCCAAACCAAATCTCAAATATCTTTTATCAATCACTTGATTACTTACTTCTGACAGATAAAGGAGAACCGGAGTGCTATGAGGAGGCTATGCAAGTTAGTGAATCTCAACAGTGGAAGAAGGCAAAGCAAGAAAAGATGAATTCTCTACACTCGAACGAGACATGAAAGTTAGCCAGCTACCTGCACAGAAGAAAGTCTTACATAATAAATTGGTCTATCGGGTCAAACAGGAGAGTGATGGAAGCAAGAGGTACAATGTCAGATTAGTTGTGAAAGCGTTACAACAGCGGGAATGAGTGAACTATACGGAGATATTTTCCCCCATTGTGAAGCTTACAACCATCAGAATGATATTGAGCTTAGTAGCTGCTAAAAATCTCTATCTTGAGCAGTTGGATGTGAAGACTGTCTTTCTTCATGGAGACTTGGATGAAGAAATCTACATGAAGCAACATATTGGCTTTATAGAAGAAGAAAAGGAAGAGATGATGTGTAGGCTCAAGAATAGCTTGTACAATTTGAAACAGGCTCAGAGACAGTGGTACAAGAAGTTTGATAACTTCATGCAAAACAATGGCTATAAAAGATGCAATTCAGATCATTGTTGCTACTTCAAAAGGTTCGAGTCTAGCTATATCATGTTATTGTTGTATGTTGATGACATGTTAGTTGTAGGACCGTGTTTAAAAGAGATAAACAAATTGAAGAAGCAATTGACAAAAGAGTTTGCTATGAAGGATCTGAGTGCAGCAAAGCAAATTCTTGGGATGCGAATTAGTCAAGATGAAGCTGAAGGGACGTTGAAGTTGAGTCAGGCTGAATACATCGAGAAGGTACTTCAGAGATTCAACATGGAGAATGCCAAACCCGTCGACACACCCCTTGGAAGTCAATTCAAGTTGTCTGAGGAGGAATCGTCCAAGACAGATGCAGAGAAGGAGCACATGAGCAGAGTATCATGTTCATCAGTCATTGGTAGTCTTAGGTACGCTATGGCTTGTACGAGGCTGGATATCGCTCATGCAGTGAAAGTTGTGAGCAGGTTTGTAAGAAAGATAACAACAATCACAAACACAAGCTTTTATTTTGGTTCCACCTCCCTGGTATACATCTAGTCCCCAAACAAATCCCGCTTGAGAGTTCCACTATGATTTTAAAAACTATTATAAAATTAAAAAGCAAACCTGACCAATTTGTAACACCATGCAAATTACACACAATCTCTTCACCAAGAGATCACAACTCTCACACCTGAAAGAACTTTTCTTGAATCAACAACACAATTCCTATAAGCCTTGATTGTGTAGTGATGTGTAGCAGTGGCTTTAGGAATGTTTTTAATCTCTGGAAGTTGCATAAATAAGTTGTATATTGGATGAAGATCAAAGGCTAACTGAGAGAATATTTTTCTCAACACTTAGTGAAAATCTGAATGTTTTTAGCTCTTGAGAATGCACAAATATTGAATCTTATAGACAGGAATCATTAGTAGCAATTACTGAACTTGTAACCTATTTATAGCCCTTGAAAAGATAAGTTTTCAAAGCCAATTAACGGGACAAAACGGCTAAAAACAGTCACAAATTTAAATTCTAAAATGTTAGACAGCTGTCACTGTAGTCGACTAATAGTCGTTGTAGTCGACTACACTAAGTTAGAACATACTCCGTTAATTCAAGATATTTCTTAGTAGTCGACTACATTGGTCATTAGTCGACTACTTTGTAAAAGACAAAGTCTGAAATTCAAATTCAAAGCAGAGTAATGACTATACTGTGTAGTAGTCTACTACACTATAAACAACATAAAGTTAAGAATTCTGAAATGACTTTTAGTAGTCGACTATATAGCTTAATAGTCGAATACACTGTATTTTTACAGAAACTGAGATTTTGTCTAAGTCTTTAGTAGTCGACTATAAAAAGTCATTAGTCGACTAGACTGTAATTTGATAGAAACTTATATATTTTTTATCTGAACTTCAGTAACCGACTACAAGTCTCATTGGTCGACTACTAAGGGGTGAAAAATGATATGAATGAAATATTTTGAGACTCATTGATAAGCTATAAACTCTACTGGTTAACATAGGGTATTTCTATTATTAACCAACACACTAAGCATGTGTCAGTGTGTTCTAATCACTATGTGTATGTATGTGTGAGTGATCAAGGCTTGTACAAAATTTCTAAGTAAAGCAGTGTGTTCTAATCACTATGTGTATGTATGTGTGAGTGATCAAGGCTTGTACAAAATTTCTAAGTAAAGAAAATGTAAAATTTACATTGATGTGTGTGAGTGATCAAGGCTTGTACAAAATTTCTAAGTAAAGAAAATGTAAAATTTACATTGATGTATAAGCATTTCATCTTCTTTACTTCATGATGAATTGAACTTATCTTGCACTTGTTCATATTTGATGTTGATAGCTGCATTGATATGTTAGTGTACAATAATACTCATAGTGATACACATAATGAATAAATTGTTATCATCAAAATTATATTTTGGGGACATAATATCCAACAGGAAGCAGCATTGGAAGACCGTGAAGTGGATAATGCGATACTTGAGAGGGACTACGGATATGCCACTGTGTTTCAGGAGAAAGGAGTTGGTACTACAGGGATACGTGGATACAGATTTCACCGATGATCATGATACGAGACGAAGTACTACGGGGTATGTTTATACCTTAGCGTCGACAACAATGAGCTGGGTCTCACGTTTGCAAAAGATAGTTACATTGTCCACGACTGAGACAAAGTATGTCGCAGTGACTGAAGCCAGGAAAGAGATGATTTGGTTGATCGGGTGCCTGGAAGAGCTGGCTTTGAAACAGGGGAACGACGTTCTTTATTGTGATAGCCAAAGTGTTATACACATTGCCAAGAATCCAGTATATCATGCCAGAACGAAGCACATCGACGTACGTTACAACTTCATATGCTCACTGATAAAGGACAACAAGTTACAATTGGAAAAGATTTTGGGGAGTCAAAATCTTGCGGACGTGTTGACGAAAGCAGTGATAATCGACAAACTGAAGTTGTGCACAACTTCAGTTGGCCTTCACGTGTAGAAGACGAAGGCGGAGCCACACTAAGAGGATAGGCGGGATCGCCAAGATGATATTGTTTGAAGAATGGAATTTTTTCCGGGTAGGAGAAGATGCTTGCGAAAATGGCATGAGTCCGGGAGAGCTAGTTGATGGCGGTTTTGGTCTCCAAGTGGAAGATTGTTGGTTTCGAGAAGTGTAGACCCAAACCTAGATCAAAATCAACAAAACTAGAAAACTCAGCCTCGGTCGACCGACATGCATGGATCGGTCGACCGAATCGACTGCAGGAAATTGAGCAGGAAAATCTGCTCTAGTCGATCGACCTAAGCAGTGACACCGGTCGACCGATGTGAAGTCAAAAAATATCACAGGATTTTTGGGACAGTCGACTGATGGACTTTTTTCCCCGATCGACCGAAAACGTGCACGAGAACTCTGTAGAAAACAAAGTTCTGGACGGTCGATCGAAGCATTACTATCGGTCGACCGATTGCGATCAACCGGTCGACCGATGCAATAATATCGATCGACTGAACTCCAGTCTGACAGTTTCCTAATTCGGGTTGGAATCTGTTTTTGGGCTGTGTATATATATGTTTTCTAAAACGTTTTTAGGGTTATGAGAGGACGTCTTTGAGAGGTTTTTGACAGCACTTTGAGATCAGAGATTTTAGAGAGTGTGTGACCTATTGCGAGCATTGTAATCTTCTTCAATTAATCAAAGAATTTCTGGTGTGGCTCCCGAGGACGTAGGCACGTTTGCCGAACCTCGTTAAATTTGGTGTTTTTCTTCTTTTGTTCTTTATTTCTTGCAAGTTTTCTTTTATTTGCTGTGCTTTCTTGCTTGCCTACTCTTGACACAAGATCCGGAAGGGCACGGGTGTAGTGTGCTCAACCCAACAGGTGGAACTGCAAGAAAACATTAAAATCTCCAGTATGTTACATGATAGAAAGATTTAATCCTACTACAATTGAAGGAACCGAGACTGTAGTTAAATTCTAAGAATAATACTAACTAGATTGTACAAAACTACTCCCATGCTACAAGAGAGAAGTATAGATGAGTCATTAGTTTTGATAAAAGTTAAAAAAGACCCCACATTTTTCACTCTCATATAGTGTAGAAGTAGTTTGGTGGGGGTAGTCTATCTAGCTATCACTACTCAAGCTGTGACAGTTTTCTGTCAATATCTATGGATTATGATTTTCCCCTTCAGTCTTCAGACATCTCTTCCAGCACCAGATATTGAAGAGCAATAGAGTATTTAGCAGTTCTCATCCTTTCTGCTCTGCCACCTGAAGTAGTTACAGTTCTCAAAAGAAAAGATCTTGAATTGTTAAGTTCTGCATGAAAAGGAAAGGACCAGAGTCATTAAAGGAGTAGCATTTGCTTTATTAACCAAGATAGTGTCAATTGTGCGTTTAATCAAAAAGCATATCTATAACCACCAAAGCTTGCCGAACTATAAACATATCAGTTTTCTAAATTTTTCAGCACCTGCTTAATAAATCTTCTTGTGTTACTTTTGACAAAACAATACTATGCACTATCTAGTAGATATCCAGTCCTAAGTTTCAGCTGATGCTGTTATATGAACTCCCAAAAGAAGGGATTAAGAGTTCAATTCTGCTAGCTTTGGGTGAAATCAATAAATACATTAATAATGGCTGGAAATAATTAGATTGAAACTGAAATCAGAAAACTTTTCCAACCAAGCAAGGGTTACATGTTTTTAATGTATAAGCTTTTCGGAGCTCTATAATTCCGCTACGTATTTCAGTCCCTTCCCAGTGGCCGCAATTTTTACTAGGTTATTAGCAATTAATGTTGACAAGGAAAAAGATACTATGTAGTTTCCAGCTGATGTTTAAAGTTATGTTATTGTGATAATTTTTGGAATGTTTGAACGTTTGCAATTGTTTTATATGTTTAGTATTAGTATACATCGGAAAGTAAATACCTACATCATGATTGAAGGGTCATCCCATTACCATGCAATCTTTAGGTTCAAAGCTAATAGGCTGTTGCGAGTGCAAAATATCTGAAATGATATGATCCTCATATTCGATATTGTCTATTCCTAGCCCTGCACTGTTACATTAACTTACCACAATAAAGAGAAGAGGTTGAGTTGATCTCTGGAAAACGTCAGGACAAAATAAAGACAATGCTCTGCTCTCAAATTAGTGTAAATACAGGAATAGAAGCAAAAATGGTGGGAATGCCAAAAAGAAAATATACCTTGTATTGTAAATATGCACTGAATCCATCTCTTATATATGAACAACAATCTTGGGCTGTCTCCTTGATGTGTATCAGCAATGACAAGTTTACAATATTCCACCGATTGCAGCTTTTCACTAAAGGAGGAGCAAAGGGGAAAAAAATTAGCTGAAGGATAATGTAAAATCTCAGCAAGAATGCAGCTTTCACTACAATAATCCCTGGATTGCAGCTTTTCACTACAGATGAAAAACAATCTTTTATTTTGTAATTACTTAAGGTCACTAGTATGAGCTACTCTAAAAAAGGCATACTTTCAAACCTCAAGATTTAAAGAGTTTAAAATTTATTAAAACCTGGTCCACACGAAAAGTATAAAACCCTCGGATTAAATATTCAATTTAATAAGAGAGAGGACCTTCAAATATCTCACTGTTACAATTATATGGAAACATTTCATTGTTTCTGATTAATTGAAACAATATCAGAAAATTATATGAGTGAATCAGACTTAGAAAGAAAAGAAAACAACTGTGAGTTCCTAGTTAACATTTTAGTTTCATGATATAGACATATTGACTTAAAGAAAGCTGATAAGAATATAGAGAATCTACATAACTTTGCATGTGTTATGGCATCTCGACACAAAGCAAGACTGCGAACCATGGCAAGGTCCCTACCCCTTGCATTACCGTATTTATCTTGACAGTTTCTGCAAGAAATTGGATCGGTAATTAGCACAACTGTTCATGGAATTTTGATTTAAAGTAAAGCAGTAGAATATAAGGGCATTAGACTTTGTTATTTGGGAGTTAACTCACATTAACAGAATAACAGCTGTAAAGAAAATCTCATTAGAAGTACTATATAAATGCCTGTCAATCATTCAACACTTTTCAGACTTTAAGGTGTTTTTTGCTGCACAAACACATACATAGAAACATACATGCACATGCACATACATACATATACACATATACATACATATAGACATAATACATAGACATACATACACACGTATGAGATGTGATTGAATTTGTTGACGTCCCATAGTGATGCTTCATTCTTTGAACCTATCCCTGTCATTGAATGCTGATTAAACTTCTACGCATACTATGCGCATGCAGGCTGTAGCATTAGTCTTCATAATTTTTCACTTTTCCTCTTTTTCAAATTTTCTGAATATTTATGCATATAAACTTCATGCTATGAGGATAATTTATGCACAGAGCCTTGAAAGATCTGCAGATTCCAGGTTTGTTATGGTAGTTGTTTTGTCGAATGCAATAAAACAGCAAGCAAAAGAGTTACCTATCGGGGAAGAAATCTCCGAAATCATCAATAATAACTGCAGAAGGAAAGTTGTCATGGAGATGAAATGAGGCGAAGTACTTCTTGAGCCCATCATCATCTTCAAGGTACCTGTTTAGAATGAGAAGGAAACAAACGCGTGGAATAAGAAACTAAAAGTGTCACTTAAAATGAGGGCCAAGGTTGGATATTTCAAGCATTGAAAGTTGGCCTCTGTTTGCATGTCGAAGACAGGTTCAACCTATAATAAATCGTTGTCAGAAATTAACTTAAGGTTTTCATTCTTTTCAACATTCCCCTCCTTCTGTAATTCTTCTCGCATATTAACCTATCACCCTCCCTGTTCATAATTGAATCTGTGACTCCTTCGCCTATTAAAGGTCAAACAAATCCACAACAGCTGCAGCAGATTAACTGTGTAGTCTGTGTTGATTATAAACATTAAGCATTATAAGAGTTCGATCTTCAGAATGCCTAAAATATGATCTTAGAGTAGAGACAATAACCACCACGCTGAGAAGGGTAAGAGCTACTCTGTAAAGACCGGTCTGTGGCTCTCCTTCCTTCATAATTATTAACTGCATCATGATTCTAAGTATGAAAAACTGTAAAAGCTTTCTAATTTGTGAAAAAGGCGTGTTTATGGAAGATATTAAAGAAAGCTATCGTTAGTCATCAGATACAAATATTTTTGAGACACACATCATCATGACTACAGTGTAAGAGGAGTTGGTAGATAATAATATTTACACTAAACCCTAACTTTTAAAATCACACTAAAACCTCAGTAACTTTTGCAGAAAACCCTCAAAGTTAAACACCGCTGCATCTGACCGAATTCCTAAATTCATACATATTAGTCTGAATAGCACCTCAAACTATCTTTCAGTTCATATATTTTCACTATATTTCTGATTTCGACCGCATTCACTATATTAGTCTGAATAGCATCTTCCCATTGTGGAACTTATCAAATCACAGGATTTCCAAACAATACCACGCAAAACATATTGCGGCCCAAACATTTTAACCAAGGAAGATTTTTCCATTAATATCAATAATGACAAAATTCAAGACAACACCAAAAAAAAAAATAAAAATAAAGAATTTATAGGTTCTGGTCTGATCACACAGATTGGCCCAACTTCATGCAGGAGAAATCAAAGGCCCAAACTTAACGTAAAATATCTTTACTCCGAGACAAATTAAAATCTTGTTGACTAGGATTTACCAAATAACTCATGAAATTACATAGATCAGAGAAGTGGTGCTTACTTCATTTGGATCCTCTGAAGCGCATCCAAGCTCGGCTCTGTCCCCTAAAAACATCAAGAATATTTATAAAAGATCACTAAATCTTTTTTTTTTAACCCAAATATATGCTGAATGAAACCTGGGACAAAAATGGAGGATTGTTCTCCAATCTCCTCCTGTTACAGATAAAAACAACTTTCCCATTGCTCGCTGTCGCGCAATTTAGGGCATATTGAAAGAGGAGAGAAGTCTTTCCGCTGTAAAATTATACGAAAAAAAAAACATAAAGATGATGTCAGTTTTGAGTGAGGGGGTGATGGTGATGCGGTCAGTTAACCGGGAGGTGAGGAAACCGCACCAGGACGGAGGACCGGAGAGGAGGGTGAGGGTATGGGTGGGCCCGGGGCCGTCGATCTGCTTCGTGGCGAAGAATCTCTCCGCCATGATGTGGACTGAACGGTGCAGATGAGGTGATCGACTGAATGCCTGAATGAGCGGTGAGAGTACCGCTGGCAAGGAGGAGGACGAAAGTGTTAAGGATGGCGGGAAGGATTAATAAGATTGTGCGCGCATGTTGCCCCCTCACAATCTTATATGATTAATTTACGTATTTAAGCCTGCGAATGAGAAGAGATCGATGAAAGGTAAAGGAAACTAGTTGGTATTTGAAAATAGCAAATACAGTTATATAGTCCTATTAAAATGGTTATTCGTTTCGTACATTGTCATGTTTTTTATAACTGCAGCTATAAAAAATAGTATCTTTTTATTAAAAAAAAAACTGTTTTATCAAAATTAGTTTACATCTCTTTGGAAAAAAAAAACAATCCGTTGGTGACTTGCAACTATGAATAAAAATATAATTATTGTAATATTTACACATTCAAATGATTTGATAGATTAGATCCGTTAGAACTAAACATCCTTTAATTTTGGAAATAGCGCAAAATATGTGCTCATGTTTGCTTTGCTGCAAAAAATAAATTGTAACAAATACTACACCAGGAAATGTTGCAAGAAATCAACTTCAAATGTTTTTGTTTAGATATTTGCAGTTGTGTTACAGGAAGTCAACTTCAATTTGTATTTTGGTCATTACGAGAATACATTGCAAGGTAAAGCCAGTTCGATGTTAGCTTTTTTTTATGTTTCCTTTTGCTTAATTTTTCAGGGAGCAACTTTTAAGGAGTGCTTTTATAAGCAATATCTTTAGCTTATGACATTATTATCATATATATCCTTAAATTATCACGTCTATTTTGATATCTAAAGTTATCTTTATATTTGTCACTTTTAGTTATAATGATCTTTAAGCACAATCATTAAGCACAAACGTATCTGCTTCTGAAAGTAGCTTGTGATGTATGAGTATCAATCAGCTACTTTTATCATCTTATATAAGCTATTTATCAAATGTTTGGCCTTAGGATTTGACGGACTTATATGAGCAATGTCAAAGGATTTAGAGATATGAAAGCATGGAAGATGTGAAGGGCTGTAAGTAAAAATAAAACAGCGAGGGACTAATTATCTAAATAACCCTTCAAAAAATTGCAGAAAGGCGATTCTTCCCGACATCAAACCCCGGAGCGAAAACAAGGCACAAAATTGTACCTCACCGGTTATTTTGAGTTGCTTTGGATAAGCTATTTATCATAAATCCGACTCATTTTCTTTAGAAATTGTACCGCACCGGTTATTTTTTTATTTTGCTTTAAATGCGTGGAAGGTGACTTGGCCTCTAAATTTCTCATTTTTTATTGTTAAATTTGTGAATATTAGTGCTTTATATTGTCAAATTTGATTATTTCAAAGGGAATCGTTCTCTTGTTTGTGAAAATATTGAAATTAATGCTAGGTTGTGCTTATTTTAATCAATAGCGGATGAAAGTCCAATAATGTGAAAACTCCCGAGTTTCTGGCTAAAATTGTATGTCTTACATGTTGGGACAAACCCAGGGCCCAATAGAACAGAGTCACAACAATAGTAGAGCAAAAGTAGAGATAAAATGATAGACACACAGATTTACGTGGTTTGACACTTAATTGCCTACGTCCACGGGCAAGTATAGAAGAATTTACTATGAGGAGAAAACTCTGAAGTTACAATCTCTCTTTACAAGGAGATAATCTCTCTCTATTTTTTTCTCTCACTCTTCTATATGAGGAGTTGTTTCTGGGATGAGTTTTTCCTTAAGGATTTGGATCCTATTTATAGGGTTTGGAAAAACACTATGCATAATAAAATATTAATATTTTGCTATGCTATGGGGTCCGTCATTTTTGTTTTCTTTTTACTAATTTTAAACACAGTGCCAAACTCTTCTTTCAGTGCCTAAAAGAAGGCTGAAGTCTTCTTTGGCTGCTACCAAATAAACGTGGGCGGCTAATTGCTGACAATCCCACTTAAAGATTTGATTGAGTATCAATTATATCTTCACACCATTCTTTCTATCTTGTCATCTTCATGTTCTTACGTCTCCGACAGACCACATGAGGATCTATACCAAATGAATTTGTCAGCATTGACTGTTTTTGTCAAAAAATCTGCTAGGTTGTCTTTGGTGTGAATTTTCTACATATCCACTGTTCCTTCTTCCACTTTCTCACGAACGAAGTGATACTAAACTCGAATGTGTTTGGTCTTTGAATGAAAGGCTGGATTTCTTGCCAAATGTAAAGCACTCTGACTGTCACAAAATAGAAATATCTTCTTTTGTTCATGGCCAAGTTCCTTTAGCACCATCTTCAACCATATCGCTTCTTTACTAGCTTGTGTAGCTGCTACATATTCTGCTTTTGTTGTTGAAGTAGCCACAACTGACTACAGTTTTGAAATCAAACACATAGCCTGTGGTGGATTTGCTATTATCACGATCACCTGCATAATCAGAATCAACATATCCACTAACAATAAAATCAGATCCCCCATAACATAATGCAACATTTGAGGTTCCTTGAATGTATCTTAGAACCCTCTTTACAGTATTCCAATGCTCTTTACTAGGATTAGCCATGTATCGACTAACCACTCTCACTGCTTGTGTAATGTCTGGTCTTGTACAAATCACCGCGAACATTAAGCTTCCCACTTGTTTGTGGGAAAATTTGCAGTAAAAGAAACGAAGAAAAATTGATTTGTATTCCTTTAATCTCAGTTACAATTGGATTTCCTGATTACAAAAGAGAAGATAATGATCTGGATTCTTTCCTTTGTTTAATTCTGGGTTCTTCACGGTGGCGATGAGATACCTCCCTCGAATGCTCGCGTCGAGTTTGCTTCTCGTTGACGATCCAATGTCTTGTTTCACTGGAACGTGGTCTTCTCCTCACGATTTGACGTTGTGGAGAACTCTGAACGAGTTTGAAACTCTATGAAAGAGTTGATTTACCCGAAAGTCGGTTATAAGCCAAGGATAAAAAAAGATCTTGTTGCCGATCTCCAAAGCTCCAACCGAAGGATGAAGGATCCTCTTTTCGCTGCCAAGAAGTTCCAACAGACCGAACCCCTGAACTGAATTGATTTTTAGTTATTTATAGGGGATTAAGGGGTGTAACCACCTCCTTAATTCGCTCCTCAGTGAGGCTAATGGGATGTAACCGCCCCTTAAATCACTCCTGAGTGGAGTTGTGATCCCCTCAGATCGTGGGAAACGGTTTTGAAACTGTTCAGCTCGTGTTTGAACGAGTCAAACGCAAAATCCATGTTCTGATGCGAATTCTGCGTTCAAACGCAGTGTTTGGAAGCTCAGACACAGCAATTTGGAAGCTGCATTGGTATCTTGTTGAAAGCTGCGTTTGACAGCTTGGGAGCTGCGTTTGGCGGCAGGTGAAAGCTGCGTTGATAGCTTTCGGAGACTGCGTTTGTGGCCGAACATGAACTGCGTTTGCAGCTTTTGGAGCTGCGTTTGCGGCCGAACATGAGCTGCGTTGGCGGCCGAATTTGAGCTGCGTTTGCAGCTTTTGGAGCCGCGTTTGCAGCTTTTAGAGTTGCGTTTGAGCAGCGGTTGGAGCTGCGTTGAGCAGCGGTTGGAGCTGCGTTGAGCTGCGGTATGAGCTGCATTGAGCTGCGTTTGGAGCTGCGTTGAGCAGCGGTTGGAGCTGTGTTGAGCAGCGGTTGGAGCTGCGTTGAGCTGTGGTATGAGCTGCGTTGAGCTGCGTTCGTGGCTATGAACGCGATGCGTCTTGATGCTGGTGTGCGGGGAGGACTTCCGCAGCTTGATTTGAAGGGACCGTCGATTTGTAGTCTCTTTCTGTCGAAGCGTTGCAAAGATCGTCATTTTGTAATCTTTTCTTTAGCTCTCTGATATATGAGAGTCGTCAGATTGTAACTCCCGATGTTGATTATGAAGGCTGTTTGATTAGAGCTTCCATCAGTTATCGTGAAGGTCGTCAGATTGTAACATTTAGTGATCTACGTGAAAGTCTTCAAATTGTAACATTCTAGAAGTCGTCAGATTGTAACTTCCATCATCGGTGTTTGATAGGGATCAGCTATCTAGTATGATTTTTAGCCAGCCTACAGAACCCCCTCCAAAGTTTTTGAAAGTTCGCGGTTAACTGGGACGAATTTTCGGAATACTTTGGATCTCAACTCTGATCTTGGAGCTGTTGATTCCTTGTGGTAAAGAATTTATTCTCTGCACTTGCTTCGAAGGCATCATGGTTGAAGGGATTTGCTACGTAGGACCTGTGTGAAGGTATGCGCCATAAACCTGCTTCTGGAATGTGGGGGTGGACCCTGCATTTTGAATTTGGAACACGGGTGTGACCTCGGCGTTCGGTTTTTGCATCGCGGGTCTGACCTCAACGTTTTGACTTAAGACATGGAAGTGGCTTTCGTGCATTTTTGACTAAGTCTTTGAGACTTGTCTTTGGCTCATCTGTTTTAAGTCTCGGCTCACATCCATTAAGCTGATGGACCTGCAAACGTGCATAGGATTTTTGGCAAACCCTCAGCCATCAACGGATTTGATAAGCCTTTACCGACTACCGTTTGAGTCGGGCTAGCATGTGGATTGTCTAAGTCCGTTCCACATGTAACGTTGTGCTAAGAGAATGAACCCTCTTAGACTTGATGCTATGATTTTGAATACATAGACTTTGTCATTTTGACGGGAAAAGACTAACCGGCAACGCGTGTTAGGCGTAGGCTTATCTCTAATTAGGGATCGAGATAAAGTCCCCCATGCGTAAAAGGCATGGATTTTGGTGCTACGATGTTGAATACGTAGACTTTGTCGTTATTTCTTCCTGTGTTACTTGAAACACTGAAAGAAAGTTGGAAGCGCCAGAGGTGTAATATTAACTTGGCATGAATTTTCACTTAGAGTGAAATTCAGAAATTTTCTTTATTATCACTAGGATAATTCCAGAAAATATTTAATCCGTTGGGGATTTTATAATGACAACTTGCTATTCTTGTTGAAAAAGGATTAACAAGTTCATTGGGGGGTTTGACTGTTAGAGGTGTGATGTTAACCTAACAGTATTTTTATGGACCTATCGCTCCGTTGATGAGAGTCGATAAGTGGAAAGTGTTGCGATCGGAGCAACTTTGAGGACCTATCGCTCTATTGACGAGAGTCGATAAGTTGATTTTATCATATGTGTTTGATATTAACGTGACAAGAGAATGTTGCGATCGGGGCAACTTCG